ACCCCACCCGGATTGAAACCAAGGGTTATTTACCACCAAGCTACATATGTACCCCAACCTTATTTTTTATTTTGAGACAGGGTCTGTAAGTTGATAAGGGCCTTGCTAAATTGCTGAGGCTGGCCTGGAACTTGCTATCCTATCACAAATTGCTAGGATTACAGACATGTTCCACCACGCTGAGCCTAAATTTTCCAATATTTTAAAGAATTAAAATGAATAAAAATGACAACAGCACTGCTCAAATTATTAATCCCATTTTATTAAAAATGAACGAACAATTCATATTACTGTCTCTATCATTAGGCTATCATGAAAATTTTTCCAAAATAAAATTTATAAAGTTTTGCTTGAAAGATCTCCCTTTATATAAAGATAGTTCTTTTTAAAAAGGTAACTGTTTTTTAGAAATCTGAAATCCAGGGGGGAAAATATGTAAAATGTGGTTTATCTTCTTGTCTAACAACTAAAGAAGCTGTTATAGTTTCAACAAAGAAACTAGCACTAGAAATATCTCTTTAGCGCATTGCATTATGTCCTGGTGTCCCACATGACACTCATAAAAACTGAAAACATTATTGCTGTTCAATTAAAGTTTTATAAGTGTCCTTTATAAAGGACTCAGGGATATAACGGATTAAGCCTGTTTACAAACACACGATAGTTTATATAGTCAAAAGGATGGTCATTAAAATTAATTTGCAAAGATTCAGCACATCCCTTTTTTTCTATATAAGTTGAAGCTTGCCTTTAATACCATAAAGTTGAAGAATTACTACTTTATTTGGGGGGGGGGTACCAAGGATTGAACCCAGGGATGCTTACGCACCGAGCCACATTCCCAGCCCTTTTTATATTTCGAAGGGACCTTGCTAAATTGCGGAGGCTGGTTTTGAACTTTGATCCTTCTGCCTCTGCCTTGAGCCACTGAGATTACAGGCACACACCACCGTGCCCAGCTGCACTGAAGTTTTAAAAGAGTCTTAAAACCCTAGCATTGGGAAGATAGCACACTTCTTCTAGTACAGGTGACCAAATATTTTAGCATGTTAAAAGGCCACCCTACCTCCTGACTAAAGTTCAAAGTCTCTTATGCAAAGCTTGCTTGGTCAAATGGTTTCAAAATCAGTTTTCTCTCATTCCAGGATTCCCCCCGCCCCCCGCAAGGCCCTGAGCAAGGTAAGCAAGGGGGTTACCCTTGAATTACACCTCTAGCTGAGGCTCTCCTTTTGAATTGTTTTAGGCACGGATTTTGATTTAGGCTCCAGGAACCTACCTGATGCTTGGCAAAACTGTTGGGGGAGGGAGCCACCAACTGAACTCCGTGACTGCTGGTATTCCACAGTTCGTCTCCCAATCAATCCTATTTAGAATTAAGAATCGTGGCAGAACCCCAACACTGCCTGCCCAAGTGACGGCAAGAGTCAACAGACAAAACTTTTCACTTCAGCGCAACAAAGAATGGCAAAACAGTGGCTGCTAAATCAGGGAAACTTAGGACTTTCCTTGTTTCCAGACAAAACTCTAGACCACGCAGTAAAGTGAGCCCCATCAACTTTCCAAACAGTGACGAGAAAACACGCGAGCACCCAGGGAAATTCCCAACTCTCAATCAATAATCTCCCACTTTCTAACCGCTTTGGGTTCCGCCTACCGGAAGTGAAACTGGAGGAAACGCCACGTCGAACGCGTGGGTTGACGTAAGCGCGCTGACGTCATGCGTCGTTCTTCCGGCGATGGGTGGTCCTGGGATAGGGGGGAGAGGCGGAGCGGAGGCGGGGCTTGGGGCTGGTCGAGCCTCTGGTGGGTAGGTGGGTTCAGACTGAGGGGACTACGGGTCGGCGTTGGGCTCAGCGGACTCGAAACAAAGGACTATCCGGTAGGGTTTCAACTAGGCACCTTCTGGTTAGTGTCTGAGAGGCGGTCGAGGCTTCTGGGTCATCCAGTGCCCTCGCGGCGCGGTCTCAGCCGGTTTCTCGTCGCTTCCATACAGCCAGCGCCGCGTTGGGGGACCCCGCGCAGTGGCACCTGCTGCTGAGGGACCCCGCGGCCCGCCCAGGTGCTCATGATGGGGCTGATCTTCGCTAAACTGTGGAGCCTCTTCTGTAACCAAGGTGAGAGCGATAGAGCTGCGCAGCGGCTGGAATCCAAGCCAGCCGGGTCCGACCCATGAAAGCGGACAGTGGAGGCAGTGCTTTTGGTGGACCCAAACATTGTTAGACGCTGAGAAGTGACTTAGTCCAGGGGGTGGGCAGAAACTCGGTATTTTAGACCCGGAGAATGTGCAGGAGAGACCTGGCGTGTGGGGAGAAAGAGGGACTCAGAAGAGAAGGCATCTGGTCTCCCAGAATCCAGACAGTATTTTTGGATTTTAGTGGAGCAAAGCGAGAAACACTTAAGGATGCCTGGAGGCATATTTGAGGGCCTATTCAATTTCAATTAGGCATCCTTGAGTCTGTATTTTGCCCCAGGATAAGTGTTCGCCCAGGAACCTAAAACTTCTTTATCTTTCCTTTTTTTTTTCTTCTTCGAAACTCAGTGTTTTGTTTTCCATCCTTCTGTCTAAGCCTTTGCACCTTCTTGTTCTCCGATTTCGCTAGGGAATGAGTTCTTTTATACCGGTTTCCGGAAATCATGCTAACCTCTCCACCTTATTTAGGCGTTAAAAAAAAAAAAAACCCTCAGTGTTTTCGGTTTTGTGTAACATGTTACGTGTCCGTAATTAGTGGAGAACAGGTTATGAGACAAGTAGAAGTTGCAAGTCCAAAGGGGCAAGAAGTTGTAAAACCTGTTCTGAGTCAGAATGAGATGTGGTTTCTTGTGAAGAGAGCAAATACCCAGACAAAAAAAAGGGGGGGAGGGCAACAGTAAAGTTTTAAGGATTATTTTAGCAGAATGATTTTTTAGTAATTGAAACCACTTTTAAATTCATCAAGTTTCATTTTGCAGGCATAATTTTTAAAGCATTTTGGTTTTTTTTATGCTAGTAGCAATTTGTTAGTTAATGTACAAATCCTTTTTCTGGATTTAAGAAGTCATGAACTAGAATGTGTGATGCTTCACTTGTTCTTTAAACTGGTAAGAACACTAGTCTTTCCAGATTATAAATATAGATAAAATAACATATGTACCCATATATATGTAAGTAACACTTTTCAAGTGATTTCAAAGTGATCAGAATTTTAACTACCTGTGGGTATTGTTTACAAATATAATACTTATTATTTTGACAGCTAAAATGTTCTGAATCTTGTTCTAAGAAATGACTATGTTAAGGAGTGTTTAAATACATAATTGAAAGCATAAAGATTAATAATCACTTCTGTTTATCATTCCCCTTAGCTTAACAAATAGAAATTACTGAAGTAGTTGATTCCTTGTGCACCCTATTCCATTTTTTTTTTCTCCCTTTTCTCTTGTATTACTGTCATTTATCATGTTTGAGGCTTTCTGGCTGAAACTGGAAAGTAGTAAAAAATATAATGTATAGAAAATAAAAGACATTCATGGGCTATATTTTATAGTCACAGAATTGCTTATGCCTCTTAAATCACCATTTCTACCTAGAATTTTTATTTAACTTTCTTGTTGAAAATTTAGAATTAATGGTTATTTAATTTTATTCTCATTCTGCAAAATTTACTCATATTCCATAAACCAGTCTTGGGAATTAGGCATAGGAGATAGAAAAATTAAAAACAACCCCCCCCCCCAAAATACAAACCTCACATGCTCTTAGAGCACTCAAAGATTAGTAGACAGATATAGAACAAGCAATATGGTAAATTGCTTCCCAGATATTCCTAAAAATGTAGGTGACATCAAGAATGAAGTGGTCAATTTTTCTTAGGTGGTTCCTGGAATACTTTCCAGAATAAGGTATACTTGGACTTAAAGATGAGTAGTAGGTTAGGAAGCGTGCTAGATACGCTGGGTAAAATGGGCATACTCTTCTCTGGAGAAGAGCTAATTAATACAAAAGGGGAAAAATGAAATACATTGGTACATTTAAGGAAGCTGAATAGTTTTATTTGGTCGTATAATATATTGATTTGCTTGTTGCTTAATTAGAAGAGATGAGAGTGAAGAGTTAACAGCAGGAACCAAATCAGATAGGGCCTCAATATGTAGAGCAAGCAGTGAGAGCCATTGAAGAGTTTGGTCTTTGGATAATTGTTTAAAACAGAATGATGTGGTGAGACTTATATCTTAGTCCAGCGTGGGGTTGTTTTTTTGTTTTTACTATATCAGCAAAACTACCAATCGAAGTATCTTCCATTTTCATCACAATACACACCTAATCCCGAAGTATTCAGTTTGGGTTGTATATTAGAATAATGCCCACGATCCCATGTTAGACCAGTTAAATCAGAATGAGGAAGGGTGTCCTGGGCATGGTGCCAAGATAATTCTAATATGAAGCAGTGCTAAGAACTACTGATTTTATGTACTCCTTTCCCTTAACTCTGTTTCCATATTTCCTCTTTGGTTTGGTAGCATTTTAGAGCCCCAAGCATCTTCTTATAAACAAAATATCTTTTTGGGAATAAGTATACTAAAACATGTATGTATTATCTAAGTAAAGCAATTTAAACATAATTAATCCTTGCAAATTTGTATTATTTTAATTTTAAGCTAGAAGGTTAATACTTTGACACAATTATCATTGAAATAATTTCAAAATCTGATTGCCTTTGCAAACATTATTTTATATATTTATGTGTTTGTATATGTGTATTTTCATAAAACATACTTGTGGGGGCTATCTTTAAATTTACATCTAAAGTTTGACATATCATTTAACTTTTATAGGCCTGGTCCTTTTTTTCTGTTACGATTGCACACACTGTTCATCAGTTTTTTTCTAGTGTAATCCAAAAAGACAAATGAAATAAGTTTTTTGTTGTTCATTTTCATAATCAAATAACAATAACATTAATTTCATTAATCATTTCTTTCTCATTGGTGATTTTCATGTTATCATTTTGAGCATTAGTATCTAGCTTTCTTTTTCTTTTTTTTTTCCTGGATCCTGGGGATTGAACCCAGACACACTTTACCACTGATACTACATCTTCAATTCTTTTTTTTCCCCTTCTCACTAAGTTGCTGAAAGCCTCGCATAGTTGTTGAGGCTGGCCTCAAACTTGTGATCCCCCTTCTCAGCCTCCTGGGTTGCTGGGATTACAGCATGTGCCACCATATCCAGCTTGATATCCATCTTTTTATGAGTGTTACTGTACATTTCTAACCTCTTAAATCTTGTTTCTTACATTTTCCCCCTTTGCTTATTCTGCTTGTAATTCTAGACTTTTTGCTGGTTTCATATATACCAAACTTATCTGCCTGCTTCCTGTCTTCTAGAATCTTCTAAAATATTATTTATCCATACCTTAGCAAGGTTCAGTCCATTAATTTGTTCAGATTTCTGATCACCCCATTCCTTAGAAGACTTTCTTTGTCATTTTATTAAAAACAGCACTCTTCCTGTCTTAACACTCTCTGTTTCTTTACTGTTTTTCTGAATAATATTTTTCTATACCCACAATCATATTATGTTTATTTACTTACTTGTTCTATTTCTTTCAATGGAAATAAACTTGTGGAATTAACTTGGTCTTATTCACTCTTATATTTACAGTGACTGGCAAATAGGTGGTGCTAATTTTTGTCAATTTTTTTGCTTTATTTTATGCAAACATGAAGTTTTATATCAAAGTAGCATATAAATTGTTTTTTAAAAAATCGAATAATGCTAGTCTTAAACTGATAAGTATGTCAGTCATGTCTCTCTAAACTTTTCTTCTAATGTAACATACTTCCATATTTCTGAATACTATGCCTGTATGGAAATTTTAAACATTATCATTTGCTAACTTATGGTAGAAGAGAATACTATTATGCCTGTTCAATTCCTTCATCATCATAGTATAGGTTTTTGGTATAATTTAATCTCTTTTTATGAAGACTAAAGTCTTGCTACCCCTGGGCCATAGCATGCTTATAATTGTTTCTGTTTTTCCTTTAATATTTTTACCCCAGTGTAAATAATTACAAAATTGTTTTAGTTTTCTTTGTATGTTTGGCTAAGAGGTTCCTGCTCCAAATCCAACATTTACCTCTCTGCTGGTTTGAACTTGTCCTTGCCATTATTGTACGGTTTTTTGTTTGTTTCCTTAAACCAAGTTACTACATCTCAAGCTCTTTTAGTTTTTTCTTTTTGGAGACAGGGTCTCACTAAATTGCCACAGCTCTCCTCAAATTAGTAATCCTCCTGCCTCAGCCCCTAGATTAGCTCAGATTATAGGCATGACATTTTCAGTTTAAAGATAAAGATGTAGTTCTTTTGCTGGATGCAGTGGTGGTGTGTGTCTATAATCCCAACTTCTAGGGAAGTGAGGCAGGAGAATTCAAAGTTCCAGGCTAGCCTCAGCAATTTGGTGAGGCCCTAAACATTTTAGTGAAACCCTATCTTAAAATAAAAGATAAAGAGGACAGGGAATGTGGCTCAGTGTTAAAATACCTCTGGGTTCAATACCCATTACCCCCCCCCAAAAAAAAAAACAGCTCTGTTGGAAAGTTTTTGTGTGTGTTTTTTTTTTTTTTTTTTA